AATGTGGATTCAATTCAGACAGTATAACTCCAAGGACATAGTCTTAGTAGTACAATTGAGTCATACAAGACACCTTGTTTAGTCTCCTCTCCTACCACTTTCAGCCTTCAGCTTTCTTATCCTCTCATGAACTGAAACAATACACAATAAATACATACTTCTCATTTACTGGGTCCTGCTGTTTCTTGTTTAAGCTCTGTGTCCTTTTGGAAACTATTGTATGGCAAAGCTTGTTTAAAAGCCGAACTGACCCCTTATCAGCCTTGAGAGCTTGACTGCACACATCTCTCTGAACCTTAATGTATGTGTCAATGTATGTGTCTGGACTGCCTGTGGCAGCATCACCCAAGGAGCCAGTTAGCAATGCTGATTTTGAGCCCCATTTCACACAATGAAATTAATTTTCTGGGAATCCAACTGGCTCTCATTTTTCAACAAGCTATCCAGCTGTTTCTGTTGCACACTCAACCCTGAGATCCAATACCTTCCTGCTGGAATTGTTAGGAAGTTCTCCCATAAGTTGTGCAACTCAAACCATAGCATATAGGTTGGTCTTCAAGCAATAATGTGCTATTACTGTTGTTGAACTTTGTGCGGGTTACTCTTTTTTTAATTGGTTGGTAGACACTACTTCTTGCTCCTCTTTAGCTAGTATCTCCCACCTTGCTAAGCAAAAGGCAGTACACATGATACATTTTTTTTTATAAAGCTGACAAGTGTGTAGGAGAAACATTTTGGAGACTGGTAGGATGTATAACACTGTTTCTGAAGCGAGACTGTTTGAGGAGAATTAGCTTAGCAGCTGAAAAGCTTTAGGCAAATGAATGTGTTTATGTGTGCTTCAGTTGCTTCCCTGCAATAAATGCAGAAGAAACTCTACCTACACTGATTGTATCTACTCTACAACTTTACAGTGATAAATAAGAACTTATAAAATGCATTCACTGGTACCTACAGTATATAACTGAAGTATTTACTGTCTTGGGGTGTTGCTTTATGGTGAGGACATTTGCCTAGTATGAACAAGACTAGTGTTGAAGAAAATAAAAAGAAAGAAAGAAAAACACAGAAATATTAGTGTTATTGTTTTTGTGTCTTTTCATCCATGTAGTGGTGAATAAGTTCCATTTCTTCTTTTGGCCTACAAATGTTAAGTACTACTTGAAAGACATCTCTGTATTAAGCACGTAGAATAAGGCGGTGCTGAAGGTATCATGTCTTCTTTTAACAGTACGGTATATATTCACTCATATAAACATACAACATAGGATAAACCCACTAAAATTGGTACATCTAAACAAACTAAGCAAAAGAGAGTACCCTAACTAAAACGCTCAATCCCCATCCTGAAAGGCAAAGAGGATGGACATCAGAAGAAGAAAACAGGAAACAACCTAGGAACCTGCTACAGAGGGCTTCTGAAAGCCAGAAGAAGAAAACAGGAAACAACCTAGGAACCTGTCACAGAGGGCCTCTGAAAGCATCTGCCCTGCAGACTATCAAAGCAGATGCTGAGCCTGATGGCCAACTGTCGGGCAGACTGAATGGAATTTTATGTAAGAAGTGGAAAATAGCAAGAGCTGGAGAGGACAGGAAATCCACAAAGAGAGCAACAGAACAAGAAAATTTGAACACAGGGAACTTCGCAGAGACTCATACTCCAACCAAGGACTATTCATAGAGATAACCTAGAACCCCTGCACAGATGTAGCCCATGGCAGTTCAGTGTCCAAGTGGGTTACATAGTAATGGGAAGAGGGACTGCCTCTGACATAATCTGATTGGCCTGCTCTTTGATCACCTCCCCCTGAGGGGCGAACAGCCTTACCAGGCCACAGAAGATGACAATGCAGCCACTTCTGATGAGAGCTGATAGTCTAAGATCAGAAAGAAGGAGAGGAAGACCTCCCCTATCAGTGGACTTGGGGAGGGGCATGCATGCAGAAAAGAGAGGACGGGTAGGATCGGGAGGGGAGGAGGAAGGGGCTTATGGGGAATACAAAATGAATAAAGTGTAAATAATAATAAAAAATAAAAAGAGTATCAATCTAATAATATATGAAAATTGACAGTGTCACTAGATTAAAATAACATCCCCAAGGACATAGCATAAGCCAGTCCAGACCTTGTCGTAGAGGAATGGTGATCAAGACCAGCCATAGAATCCTGTAGAATATCTACCTAAGAATTGGACTCCTGAAACACTATGTTGAGGAATCTATTTGCAGGCTGCCCTTTATGGATCCCAAAGGAAGCAGGTAAAATGAGGGAGAAGGGTTTGGAATTTGGGGGTCAGACTATCTGAAACCTAGCACTACCATTTGTTATTTGTGACCTCAGGTAAGTTATATAACTTCTCTGGACCTCATTTGTAAAATCAGCAGCAAAAGAACTACTGTAAAGAGTAACTACAATTGTGAATATAGAATGATCCATTCCAGTGACTAATAGTCATAGATGATTAATATTGGACATAATCCCCTTTCCCATTGCAGGGAAAAATGAATACACTTCCTAGACTTTGAAATCAAAGACAAGGCAAAATAATTACCAACTATACTGTCAAATCAGGGGGCAAGCATTTAGAATATAGTTAGGAATTATGCCATTTGAACAAAGTGGCTTTTCCTCTAAGTAGTAGTTATTTTTAATTTTTATTTTCATTTTTTTCTTCACAATTTGTTTATTATATATCCCAACTGAAGCACCCTCCCTCAACTCCCCCAACCCTCTCTCCTCTTCCCCTCACCCCCTTCTCCTAGTCCACTGAAAGGGGGAGTTCTCCAATATTGCCATCTGCCTATAGCCTGTTAAGTCTCAGCTGGGCTGCCTGGACCCTCTTCCTCCATGGCCTGGCAAGGCTGTATCATCAGGAGCAAGTGATCAAAGAGCAGTCAAGTGAGTTCATGATAAAGGCAGCCCCTGCTCCCACCACTCAGAGATCCACATGGAGACTGAGCTGCCAATTGCCCACATCTGAGCAGGGGGTCTAGGTCCTCCCCATGCATGGTCCTCCATGGTGCACCAGTCTCTGCAGGACCCCCTGGGTTCAAATCTTTTAGTTTTGTGGTCTCCTTGTGGGGCTCCTGTCCACTTCATGTCCCTCTATTCCCATCCCTTTCTTCTTCCATGAGACTCCCTGCCCTCTGCTCCCTGAGTCTCAGCATCTGCCTCCATACCCTATTGGGTAAATCATTTCAGAGGACCCTCTATTGTAGGCTCCCATCCTGTTTCCTCTCTTCCACTGCTTCTGGTGTCTATCTTGTTTGCCATTCTGAATGAGATTTAAGCATCCTCCCTAGCGTCTTCCTTGTTGTTTACCTTCTTTACATCTGTAGATAGATATCCTATATTGTATGGCTAACATCCACTAATAAATGAGTATATACCTACCTGTCTTTCTGATTCTGGGATATCTCACTCAGGATGATCTTTTCTACTTCCATCCATTTGCCTGCAAATTTCATGATTTCCTTGTTTTTACTAGATGAGTAGTATTCCATTGTGTAGCAAGAACAGAGGTAGTTTTTACTTTTCTCTAGTAGTAAGTTTCCTCTAAGACCAACAACCTCAGTAGCCCTGGGTAGTTGGCTAAGTTTCTGGTATGACGTATGATTTTCCTCTTGTTTAGTGGGCCTTAAATCTAGTGAGATAGCTGTTGGTTACCATCATAGCGAACCACAGCTCTTATCCCTCATCAAAGAAGCTCGTGATTAGTGGTCCTCGTGGAGGAATCCCTGATTGGTTATCCAATACCAAGTAGACATGCCTAAAATCATAAATGCAAGCAATACTGGATAGACTCAGCAGGTTGCATTCATACACCTATCCACATGTGTACTGTGAAAATAATAATAATAATAAAAAGAGCTCATACCTGTGAGAGAGGATAAGAGGAAGCATGGAAGTGGTGGAGGGAGAGGACATGGGAGAGTTGGAGGGAAGAAAGGAAAGGGAGAAATGATGTAATTATATTTTAATTAAAAATAATAGAGCATAATGTAGATCACCTGAAAGAATTCTGGACTATTTAAGGGCCAGTAGACCAAGATTCTCTTCATGTGTCTTAGTGCCTTCACCTGGAGAACCAGAGGCACAGCTTGGAGCCTTCGTTTTTGTCTCCTCCACTATTTCAGAGATGGAAACTGGACTCAGAATCATGGAGAACCCTCTTTTAATATTTGGCCTGAGAAAAACTGGCTGAAAAGGCATACCAAGATGTTGTGCAGAAGACAGAGGGGGGAGGGAGAGGGAGAGGGAGAGAGAGAGAGAGATCTGACCAGACAGGCAACAATCCAGAAGAAGGTGACTATCCACTATCTGATTTACCTAGAGCCACTACTTAAGGCACCTAATCTCTAAGGAATATGAGTACTGGGTAACAAGATCCACAATTATAGGAGTTAGATGCAAAGCAGCTCTTTATTCCAAGCCACATGTGCCTTTCTCCAGGACTTATCACCAGTATAAACTGTTTTTACAGCCGTCAGGTCCTCAATAAGTCCTACTAAAAGTGTGCTATAAACTGATTTTACAGCCCTCAAGTTCTCAATAGGTCCTACTAAAAAAGTGTGTAGTGGCAGAACCGAAGAAACAGATACCTTCAGCAGTGGTGGACCAAGTGAATAGTCCCCCCTTTCTGTTCACTCCAACTGCTTGTGGCTATTGGGAAGATAGGGCCACAAGCCCTGTGTATCTTCTCTCTTGTTCCAGGAGTCTTTTTCTCTGTGTCATCAGGCATATCTAGACAGGGCTGCCTGAAACATATCTTTCCAATACTACTGAGTTCTACGTATTCCAAAATGCTCTCACAATCTATTGGGTCTATATTCAGATGGTGGTGTAGGAAATACATTAGATTATATCTATAGCAACAAATACTTGGTGTGAACAGCATACCAGTTTTGTCAAAGAAACTCAAGCAAACCAAAAGCCATCACAATTGCTACAGAAGCCTCAGAGGCACAAAGTCACCCCCAAATCCCTGAGCAGTCACTTACCTCCCTGAACAACTAATTTTCCTGTTTCCTGTTATTGGCTTCCACTTGTCCACAGGAAATTCCTGCAAAAGAAAATTATGATAAGTTAGGGAACTTGGAACAGCCAGTTATCCAGGTAGTTTCAAAAATAGCAGCCTGGCCAGCCTACTTGGCTGGTAGCATAAACTCACTCAGACAGGCTTCAAAAATGTACACTTGAAAGGCTGCCTTTCTTTTGGGAAGCCTGATGAGCTACTGCACTCATGTAGATATACAGAAAGTACTCAGGGACACAACACTGTGGGCTAAGAACGCTGCATTTTCCTCTTGCTCCCCTTCCCTCCCAAACCCTGCCAAAAACTGGTTTAGCATGTTTGCTCTTTGCTCTACCTCTTGCTTGCACTGAGGGATAGAGGTCTTTTTGTTTGCTTACTGGATGATCCTGTTCATCTTTCCTGCTTCTTCCAATACAGAAAACATCTTGGAGGCACTGACCTGAAGGGAGTTTTGAAGCAGGAGGTCCTGCTGCAGAAACCCTCTCCCAGGGTGGGCAAAGGTAGAACCGAGATGTTGGCTACCCTCATCCTGCAATTGCTGTTACTCCTTTGAGTACATCTTCAGACAGGGGCTGCCATGAGCTCTTCTCTAGGAGATCAAGTATTAAGTGCCCTTGTTCACACATTATAGAAGTGTGGATATTCCTGAATCACTCAGCCACACATGGTAGGTTCCCTACAGCCTGAACCTGGATGCATGTTTGCTTTTCAGGTTCTTTCTGCTTTTTCATTTTAGCACTCTACACCTGGCAACTCAAGAGCTTAACCCAAGAGAAGGCATTTTCCTAAGCCACACTGATCTCTTAAATTCATTTTGCTCTAATACTGCTATTAGACTTATTAAACCTTTCCAAGGTTTATTGCCTTAGCCCCAGCCGGGCCTCTCTTTCAGGGACAAACACTCAGTAAAGCAGAATGAATATATGTCTTTGGTAAGTTATACTGGCTAAGACATTTATTATCTGTGCTATATGAGGGACATTCTGTTGTCACTTCAAACCCGAGTTTGCTTTTTGGTAAATAAAGATTGCTAGTGAGGCTCAAATGAGAAGTGCAGTGAATTCCTGGCACAATGCATGGTATTTAGAAGGCTTCTGTAGTCAAAGCACTTGGGAATCTGTGGCAGGAAGATCACTTGAGTGCACGAGACCAGCCCGAACAACACAGACCCTGTCTGCATCACAGAAAACTTCATTCTAAATGTTAGTATGAAGAAGGTGAGGTTTATTTCCCAACTCCAGCTTTCAAAAAACCAGAGAGCAGTCTCTGGGGGACATCTGAGCAATTCTAACAATGTATACTTCAGGTCATGTTTGCCTTGAAACATTTCGTGAGATATCACTGCCCACAAAGCACTATAACTTGTTCAGCCACAGCAAGTGCCAGGATTTCCTGTCCATGTTCTGTTTAGTCCTGTGAAAGTGCTTAGAAAATAACAGTGGGTAAAACAGATGAAACCCTCCATCCATTCTCCCTGACCTTCCCTCATTCTCAGTATTACTTTACTCTTTTGCTTGAGCCACTTATTTTCCTATAACTGGTCTGTGCTCTTTGAACCAAGGGAGCAATAATCACAACAGGTAGCAGTTGAGGACTATGGTAGAACTTGCTGCTTTGGTTTAAGTGATAAGGTGAGAAGTCACCCTGTTTGTTACGTAGGAAGGGGGCCTAGGCTTTGAAATCTACTTATAGGAAGGCAGGTCGTACACATTCCAGAACATAGTCTCTGCAGCTAGAAGCAGAGCTTTGGCTTCCTCATCTGCCCTTCACTAAGTGGATGGCCTACAGTCCCCTTTAAGTTAGCTATATGGTATGTTATACATACTCACATATGCTATACATTCTATAATATATATGATAGATATGTTATACATATACATGTTATAATAACACACATATGTTATGTGTAGGTATGTTTATGTATACATTGATACTACATGTATATATATATATATATTCATGTTTGTATATATTATACCACAAATACATGGTACTCGCTATATGGTAGCATATTCATGACTAGAGTACCTATTTATTGATTGCTAGAAGACTCAATGCATTTGAAGTACCCAGAATCCAGTAGACAGCCATATATGTTATCTTCATGTTCAAATCCTGGCTCTGCACCTTGTGAGATGTTTGATCTCTCAGACTTTGTTTTCTTAGCTGTCTCAGATAAGTATTAAGTGAAATTATCTGGCTATGTATGTGAACCTAACTGGCATAAAATACATGGGATGTGGGTATATGCTGATTTTACTTCTCTGGCTATCACTGAGCCAGAGCTAGTTATCTCCCCAACCTTCTTTGTCTCCATGGAAGAAAGAGCAGGCTCACACTACAGCAACTACTTTAATCACCAGAGATGGAATATCTGAACCCATGCTATGGGTTAGGAATACATAATTCAGGTAACAAGGGTAGAAATGCCACATTCCTACACACACACTTGAAACCCTAATTTCTAAAGAAATATGCTTAGCTAGTCTAACAGACATTAGGAACTCAATGTGTCCCTTCCTCCAAGTACAAAAGGAGAGGTAAGGCAAAGGGGTAGCTTGCCTATATTGCTACAGCCAGCTGCTTGCTGTGCTACCTGTCAGTTGAACTTTAGAGGTGCTGGTCCTATGAGCACCCTGTAGCCATCCTTTCCTTCACCTTCAGCCTCTTCTCCCTATTACTTGTGTATGAGTACTTCTTTCAGCCAAGATTTCTCAAGCTAAACCAAGTTTCCCTTCATCTTAAAATAGCTTACTTATAAGATGATTACTGTCTGGTAGTCACTGCACTAAAGGCTTTGCACATGTTTGCTACTTAATCCAACTTATGAAGCAGGTGCTGTTATTACCTTCATCTTTTAGATGGGGAAGATTAGGCACAATAAATTCTGGGGAAGGAATTTAAACCCATTTAGTCTAGTTTCAGCTTCAATGCCTTTAGACCATTATCTGTATTTCCTTTTCTCTCTCTCTTTTTTCCTGCACTGTGAATATTTTCAAATATGCCAATAAGATAAAAGCAGTCTACATGTATCCTACCTAGGTGCTATAATTAACATTTATTTCTGTATTCACCTTATCATGTACCTGTTTACTCCTCTATTCATCAACCAGTACATCTTGAATTCTTAGGTGCACTCCAAAGTAGGTTCCAACAACTTTATTTGCATAAATGTTGAAGCTTAAATGACGTAGAGCAATTCCTCAAAAGCTACCAGCTACCAAAACCTCACCCAAGAAGAAACACATAACCTCAGTAAGTCTGTTACTATTGGGGAAATTAATCTGCAGTTTAAAACATTCTCACAAAGAAAATTCAGGCCCAACTGATTTCAGTGATAAATTTACCACATACTTAAGAAAGAAATAACAGCAATTCTATACAAATTCTTCATGAGAATAGAAGAGAAGGGAATGCTTCCTACCTTATTTAGCTACCATTACCTAGTTAGAAAAATATCAAACATTTTGTAATATAGACAAAAATCTCTAATAAATATAGATTCAAAGGGCCTTAGCAAAATGTTAATAAATCAGATCTAGCAGCATAAAAAGTTAGTTATGACCAAGTAGGGTTTATCCTGGAAATGCTACATGGATACTTATTCAAAATCCAATCAATGTGGCTCACATTATAAATTTAGACAAAAATTAAAACTGTATGGCATCTCAATTGATGCAATTAGAAACATTTAAAAGAATACAAAATCCATTCTTTTTTTTTTTTTAATAAGGCCTCTCTGGAGCTAAGACTAAAAGGGCATTTTTCAACCTAATAAAAGGTGACTATAGAACAATTACTGCAAGACTGTAGCTCAAACTTCATAGAGAAGTACTGAAAACAGAGCAACAATGTTGCCATCAGCATTCATTCTGAACATTGTACTGGGGATCCCAGGCAAAGCTGTTAGGCTCCTTTCTCCACGAAGAAGCATACAGAACATGAAGATATAGAATCCCTTGTATTCTAAGATGAATTGACTACCTATGTGCAAAATCTTCTATAACCCACCAGAGAGCTATTAGAATTCATCAGTGAATTCAGCAAGGTCATAGGATATAAAACCAATATACAAAGTTTAAATGTATTTATATATAGAAGTAATACAGTATTTTAATTTATATTCAGAAAACAATATTGTTTACCATAGCTTTGAAGCCTATTGGGATCTTAGGCATATGTAAACCAAAGTATATGTAAGATGCATAGGTGAGAGATGTTAAAGCGTATTCATCAGTATACTTCAAGAATACTTCAGAATTCATGTTAAAGTGTATCATTTGTTTATAATATTTTAGGTAATATGTGCTTCCTATAACATGTACAAATTTGTTCCTGTGGATGAATATCTTCATGTAAATCTAATCCATATCTAACTGCTTAATGTGCTTCCATGCCTTGTTCCCCTCAACTTTTGTGTGAATACATATTGGCAAACACTGTTCTCCACCTTTTTTTTTTTTTTCCAACAGGAGAGCCATGTTATCTCTTCACCTGTGGATGGACATCTATGGCAGTTCTGTCCCTCAGCTACTGTAGGTATTGTAACAATAATCATGAGTATGGAAGTAAATCTACGGTAGGACTTAGAGTTCTCTGGTTACTATATATAGTGCAATATTAGTCAGTCAAAAGAAAAGTGTAATCATGGCATTTGCAGAAAAATGTCATGCAGAAAAAAAAATTCCGTTAAACAAAATATGCCAGGCTTAACAAGACATGTTTTATCTCATGTATGGATTTTACTTTTTGATTTTATTACTACTAGATGTTTTATAAGGTGGGCATAAGTTTTCCTTTTAAAAAAATAGTATAACTTCAAATTATAATTGGATTCACAGTTTGCTTAAGGTCACTCATACTAATTTTACAGTAAGAACAAATTCCAGTTCTGTTAATTTTAAGAAGCAAAAGTTACTTCCTCCAACCTCTAAAGTTGCACAGGCATACTTAAATCTTGGTGGCGAGTGTACAAAAGAAGCTACATCATTGTAAGTAATCGTAATTATATTTAGAATAATGAAGTTCACTTACCCTAGAACCAAGTCCTCACCTGTATCGCAGCCTTCCTGGATTTCCAAGCATTGCCAGGTGCCAAGTTGCTGTCCTCAAGGGTACCATGCTGAGGGTTATGATGGCAAGCCGTATGCCGGATGCACTGGTGGTGGTGGCACCTATAGTTGAGGCAGTTTGGCAACAAATTTCTCTTTAGCAAGGCAGGGCAGATTTCTCCAGAATAATACATGTGAGGATCATGCATTACAGTTCCCTGAACATTGCAGGAACAAGAACAAGTCCTGTGGTAATCAAAATCCCCATAGTGCAGTGACTTACAGCACAGGGAATTTTCTAGGCCTTTGGTGGCAAAACATTCTGGGTAAGTGGGAGTTTCTGACTGACGTGGCGACAAGGAATATGATTGGTCTGCAACGTGGCATGGCTGTTCTGTGGAATGATATGATTGGTCTGAAGCGTGGCATGGCTGTTCTGTGGAATGATATGATTGGTCCAGGAGATGGCGTCTTATTTCTCTATAGCTCACTGACTGGAAGTTTTGGTCTATAGGTTTTGGTCTCTGGGTAAAAGTCTTGTTGTTATGAGTGGTTAAACCTGGCAAATGTGATGTAGATAAAGATTTGCTGCTCTCTTCAAAGAACTTTCTTCGGTCTGCAAATGGCAAGAGGATGGCTTCCTCCTCTCTAGCCTGAGCAGTAGATGTCTTCAGTTCTTTGTTGTCATCTGGGCTGGAAGGACCTTCTGTGGATAGCGCCACATGTGGCTGAGGGTTATGTTCTGGAGACCATCTCCAGCGACCTCTACAGACCACATGGTGAGGATTTGCTTTCTCAGTGTCTAGGGAGGATGAGTCAGATGCCTTCCAGCAGGTGTTCAGGGCCAAAGATGACTGGCCAGACCTCTGGCCGGGGCTTATTCTTCCCTCTAATCCTACTCTAGCTTTGGAGCTCTCTGATGCTTGGTTGAGGCATTCTGAAGATTTGGCCCTGAGAAGCATGCTTTTGTTGAAGAGCTTCTCTCTGGGGCTAGGGACATTTTTATATGAAGAGAGAAGTGACAAATTAGAAGCAGAGGGTGGAGGACTCTCTGGAGGCTCTTGTGTCTCTTGCACTGGTTCCTTAGTGTCACACAATTGTGACAATGGACCCTTACTTTTCTGGAGCTGGGCTTTCCTCCACTGAATTTCATTACGTAGGTTGGTAGCAAACCTTTCATTCTTCCTCCTGTTTTGAATGGAACGCCCCCGGGGACCTCCACTTCTTCTGCCACCCAATCGACCACACTCCTTGGGCTCATTGTCACCTTCTTCCATTTCTTCTGCTACCTTAGGGGTTGAAAAGAAATCTCTGGCTTGTTGAATAGGCGAACAAATGGCAGAGGGCGGCTGGCTAGCCAAGTCACTGCTAGCTCTGCTTGCTCGGTTTGGGTCTAGTAAAGTTTGTTCAGATGAATGTCCATCAACCTCTCCAAGTGGGGAGCCATTTTGGCTCTGGTGTACAGAACCCCTCAGCTTATCATCTGTGGTCCTGGTCTTCCTTTCTTTGCTGGGCTGGTCCTGGGTGCTTCCCTTGGGGAGACCTGAACTTTTGTTTCCCTTAGGGTTGTTGTGCAAAGGGGACACAGTCCACTGGTGTCCATCCTGACTAGTTGGCATCTCTATCCCCTTGCTGCCTCTGAAATCGAGGTGCACCTGTTGCAGGTGGGATGCCAGCAGCTGTGCAGGAGCACTATGGCGATGTTCTGTGCTTCCTCGGAGGTGTGGAATGGCACCAAAGGACAATGTGTTAGCCAAATCTGCTGCAGCCTCCTTCAGCAGGCTGAACTCTGTGCCAGAACCTTTTGGGGAATTAAGAGCTTTGGAGGAGACCTCTATCAGTAGATGCTCAAAGTCAGCCTGGCTGGATTCAGAAGGCTTGCTAAGCTCACAGTTCTGGCGGTCCTCGCCTGTTACATGGTCTTGCTCACTAAAGCAGCAGAACTGGTTAGGGTTCCTTGGGGACAGCACTGTGTCTAAGCCTGGCTTCTCCTTCTGTTGTAAGGAGTCCACAGGTTCAGATGCACAGCACTGTTCTCCATTGAGAAGTTGGGCTCTAGAGGCCTGAAGGCTGTCCCGCCTCACTGGAGGATCTGGTGGACCCCGGACTGGCGTGGCAGGTCCTGAGTGGTGGCCTTCTTCTGGGCAGGATGATGCATGGGAACTGGAGGTCATATGGTCCTCACCAGTACTGTGGCTACTTCCTGAGGTCTCAGATACATTAGGTTGGCCAACAGTGACTTTAGTTGGCCCTGGGCCTGGCATGACACAGTCTATGGAGGGTGGTTCTTCTGGCTTAAGGGAAAGGGCACAGTCAGAGGCATTTGAACTGGCTGAGAAAGAGCTGTAGGCTGAGTCACGCTGGCTGGGGTACATGTTCTGGTCAATGGGTAAAAGCTGGCCCTCGTAGGTAGCTTGGCCTGGCTGTTCCAGGCTTTCCATGCTGCCAATAGAGCTGCTTTTCTCAGTGCTGCAATGCCGGGAGAGGGGGCACCACTGTACACTCACGTCACTGTAAGACACAGGGTACATGCATTAGTTAGCCACCAATCAGACACCATTCCTACTTTGGCCAGTCTACCATGGAAAAGGACAGGTCAAGTCAGAGCCACCCATGCTATAGATAAAAGGACAATAAGGCAAAAGGGAAAGAAAGGGAAATTAAATATGGAGACTGACACAGGGATGCCACAGGAACATGACAAAATAAGAAACCGGATTTTGTAAAGAGAAGAATGAACAAAGATCCCAAGGAATTGGGGAAATGCCATGGGAATCGTGTACTACAGCACTGGTAATATCAAGTCTGAAGTTGCATTGGAGTGGTCCTTGTTGAGTCAGTGTATGGTTCTCTGCCAGGAGAGACAGTACAGAACACCAGCTTTAGAGAGGAGCCCCATAGGGTGGATTCCACCTTAGTGAGACCATTTCATAAATCTGTGATTCTCAACCTGAGTGTGCATCACAGTCACACAGAGGGCTTGCCATAACCCAGGCCACTGGGCCATACCACACTTTTGAAAATCTCTGGTGTCAATAAAACAAGCTACACAATGGGAAGTGTTTTAAAAAGACAGCTTTTACAAACTCTAACTAGGGGCACAATAAGAATTGGAGTTTAAAGGTTTGTTTTTTTTGTTTTTTGTTTTTAAATTCTGGAAATTCCACATCACTTTGTTTGTAGGGCTGGTGGTAGGACTGAGGGACTGGAACATGCTAGAGAAAGGCTCTGTTTCTGGGCTACATCCCCAGAAACTACCATTTTTCTTGATAATAGAAATTCTGACTATACACTGAAGCTCTTTCCAACCTTACATTTGAAGCCCAAATGAGATAATTTTCTTCACTTTCTAACTCATGGAGTAAACCAAACTATTTCAGAAAGCTGCTAAAGAAGCTGTAGCTCAATTGAAATCCAGGTCTCTCTCAATGCAAAGTCTTAGTTCCTTTCTGATAACACCTTCAAATGGAGAAAAATAGTAATATCTCTGCCAGAGTGCAGCTGTAGGTGAAATCACATAAACTAAGAGCCAAGGCATCATTACATGACAGTAGCTACTCTCAGTTGGTGCTGTTGTTATCAGTGTCCTTTCTACTACTAGGAATGATAAAAGAGTGGATATTGCTCATCCATATCTCCCTTATCTCCCACCACTAAACTTACACTGAGAAGACCAAGGATAAGACATAATTTTAAATGTTAAATACCATTTCCCACACACACAGTCATACTGAGCCAAGAATTGCCATTAACTCTCTTTGCCCAGAACCTCAGAGGTGTCAAGTTGCTCTCAGAAAGGCCATAGCTCAGAAAGAAAGGCACAGCTGAGCTGTAACAGCATCTCATGAGACCTCTAGACCAGTTCCCCCTTATTCTTGCTTATTGCATGGTCTTAACTATTCTGTTCACTTGTCTCTGAGCTAAGAATACATTCATTTATTATTGGTAAGGGAACCTACTATTCACCCCACTATTTGCTGGGATATACATGTACACACACCCAGGACAGGAGCCAAATATGGAATATATTTTTGTATATTCTAGAACAAAACTGCCTGGGCCATGCCTCCAGGCTTCTAATACCAAATAAAATTATTGGATTAGAGAAAACTCACCCCTTAAGTTTTAGCTTCCTTGAGCCCCCACAACAAAAACCCATTCTTGGAGGGAAGATCTGATTACTGAAGGGAAAATGCAGCTGAGGACTACAATTTGGCTGTCTCTGCGACTGTGGGGGAAAAAAAACAGACAAGTTGTTTGTCCCTTGAGTAGTTGTTTCAATAAAAATGGTCAATACCAAGCTCTTTGCATTGAGCTAGACCCTGTGGCTTGGGCAGGTCCCTGCTTTGGAGATTTCTGTTCTGTGAAAGAGCCAATGAACAGTATAGGAAGTTCCTAGTGAGTGACTAGAGATAGAGAAGACTGCCTCCCACAGGAATCAAGAAAAGAATCCAAGAAAGAATAACTAGTGAAATAGGATAAGAATCAGGGCAGATCTTTGTGATCCAAATGAACTACTTTGAGGAAACACTATCAAGAAATAAAGATGCAGACTCAAAGTCATGGTGCTAGCATGTTAGCCAGGGACTCTAGATGTCCATGCCCTTTTCTGTTATACATAGCCAGCTCTAAAATATCCAGCAGGGACAAGATTAAAGGAAGAGAGTGGCCAAGATGTCCATCCTCAAGTCCGCCTTGAGGGGAGAGTCCTAGACTCACCTTGTGTTGCAACCGGAATGCCAGGATAAGCTGAAAGCTTCAGAAGGGAAATTCATGGTGGTGGCCGCTTCAGGGCACCCTTCCAACAGCTTGGCTACATGCCATGAGTGCGGCCTACTGACAGGGGTGTTTCTCCTACAGCAAGAAAGAGTCAGGAAGTCAGTTCTGAAATCACTTCCTAAGCAACTTCTGTCCCTACCTCCTCTTTCCATTCAATGAGCTAGATTATCATACAAGGAGCTAGTATGGATATATTAAGTGTCCCCTCAGCTCCACCAGTCAAATGTCCTTCATCCATGGATGGTTCGTTCATAGAGACATAAAATGCCTGCTTCAATAGAAGTGTTTTATTCATAGACATAGACAAGTATGTACATTAATGTCAAGAACACAGTAAGTGGCCAATCAATATTTGTGGACTACACAAGAGCTGCTGCAAACCTACCTGCACTTGTCTTTGAGGGAAAAATATCAATATGACCGATCTTCCAATTTTTCTCAGCAAAAGAAGCTAAGTGGTTACGATGCTTGAACAAGGCAGTATTGGAGTATGAAATATTTAAACTTTCATTATTCATTCTAAGTATTTATTCTTGTGTTTACTATATGTCTTCTAAAATACACGTAGTTCTAGGGGTACAGACATAAGTCAAACACAGTCTAAACCCTTGACAGCTTGTTGATTCATGAAGGAAACAGAACTAATTGAAATAAACTGTCATAAATCCCCCTAGAGAGTAAAAGTTAAGATGGACACAGACACATAGAAGTCAGATAGTTCAAATTGTAGGCAAAGTCATGGCAAAGAGTCCAAACTCTTGTGAGGGGGAAAAGGAGAATGTGACAGAGGCTAAGATGACAGAGGATATTGGCTGTTTAGCATGCCAGGGGCAAATAACTGAAAATAGGTCTGAGGCCAAAGTTCCGAATATAATCAGAGGTTTGGTCTGGTGCGAAAGCCTACAGCTTCAACTCTTACATTGACTTTCTTATATAAGACCCATCCATATGTCAATTGGCATGCTTTCTATGATTAGATGCCACCCATGCAGTGGAAAAGATAACCTCGGATATGGAAGAACTAGGACATAAAGAAATGATTGATGGGAGGGAGAATAGAAGCACGAAAGGAAGTCATACAAATGAGGGGAGAATATAAGGATTGGGAGAGGGTACAGAAGTGCCAGGCAGATGCAAGAGACAGAAAGAGAGAGAGAAAGAGGGAAAGAGAAAAAATTGAGAAAGAGAAATGACAGAAGAACAAACAAATGTTAGAAGGGAAAATTTATAGATGGGTTGGTGTACAGAAATAAATGATGGATGCTAAGTAGACAAATGACAACATGGAACAAACACATACTAATAAGTAGATAATGGAGAGATATCTAGATGATTGATTAGTTACTGATTTATTCATGGACCCCAAGGACTCCTGTTATCAGAAAGCTTGCTATCCAGTGGGACAAATGAATTCTCTATTTCGCATGAGCTCAGGAGCCAGAGTCAAGAGGGAGGATTACAACCTCTCTGGAAATGCAAAAATTCTGAAGATTCAGAGTATCACAAGGACAAAGACTAACATGGTAGTCCTAAACAACTGGCCTGGCTGGGGGCATAAGACTGAGTGGGAACAGGTCAGACTCAGACAAGGAGAGAGATATGGAAAGAAGGGCAGAGAAAGATACTTGTTAAATGTTAGAGCCATAGCTCAGCAGTAGTGGCTAAAATCTGTGGTGAGGTCCCATCCTTATAATCACATGGTTCTGTGATAGAACATTGAATACACAGCAAGGGGGCTGAAAGTCCCAGAGGGCACTTGCTCTATGCTTGGTTGGGATATCACACCAAAGCTGTGCGGTTGGAAGTCCCCTGCTGCTACTCTCATCAAGAAGTCATGTGATCAACAAGTACTTATTAAGCATCTCCCAGTTGGAAAAATGTGTACTGTTGGGTCTGTATACATCTACTATGTCTGATGCTTCTGAGCAGTTAGACAGGTATGAAATAGGGAACCTATGCTATTTTGGGTCCTTCTTCCATATCCAGGATTTCTGAGGTTCTTCTGAGTCTACAATGTGAAGTAGAAAGCATGGATCTCCCTAACTGTTTAACTTGCTATTATCTTAAGTCTTCTTTTTATATGTATCTTTGACTTATTGGTATATATATATATATATATATATATATATATATATATATATATATATATATATATATATATATATATATA